AGGTAGATGAATAACCCGGAACACTATTAGATATACGGAGTAACACCGAATGCAGGGCTGCTAGCGGGTTTGCCTATCGTCACTGACCACGGTGCCTTAGGGCCCCACTCGGATAGTCAACCCGCTCGCTCGCCTACATGCAGGACAGTGTAACAACAAACGAGCGCGGGGTTAATCAGCCACCAGGTAGGTGGGAGATCTTGTTTTTGCTGCTTTAAAACTTTATGAGCATCAGCAGCAGCTTAAAACGAACACGAAACACGGAAAACGGCGAAAGCTTGTTCCTTAAAACCTACGCTTGTCTTTTGATTGAGCTTCTGCCCCGTGGAATGCACTGCGCGCGCATGTTGAGCATGTGCACCTCTCTCGCTCTCGGGCAGCCTATCTCTCACGGCGATCGCCACCGCTCCGTCTCGCTGTACATCCTCTCCACGTTGTCCCGCAGCATTTTCTCTTGGTCTGCCAACAAAAATTCACGATCTCGCAAATAGGGGGAAAAGCAATCAGTTTGCGCCGCCCAATAAACTTGGCGCGCACCCGCCGCACCACTGCTCCGCGCTCGCCTCGCGGCGCTGGCCTGGCCGGCCCGGGAGCCGCGACGCCGCGCCATCGACCCGGCCCCGTCGCTCGCGATACCCCTCGCCCCTGCTTGCGCCGCACGGGATATCGCCGCTGCGGTGCAGGGGGAAGGGGGGGGGCGTGCCGCGGGTATCGTATCCCCTACCTACCTTCCCGGAGGTTGGCTATGACGCACTGCTTGCGCAGGAACTCGGTGCACAGCTCCCGACTCAGGCCGAAGGCGTGCATATTGCACGTAAAAGTGCTGTGAATGCAGAATAAACACAATTAAGCTATGGACATATACATGCGGCATAAGTATGGTACTGAGTGATTCGACCCGCCCCGCCTACTTGTACCGCACGCACATGTACGTCGCCTACTCATGTTCTCACCCGAGTTGCCCGAACGTCACGTTCTCCTGGTACTCCTGCTCCGCGTCGACGGCCTCCAGGGTGGTGGCCACCCCGTGCTGGCGCTCGCACTGCAGAGCGTCGAACAGGGCCGCGTTCCAGAAGCGCAGCGAGTGCCAGATGGGTTGCTCTCGGAGGTAGACGGAGAGGTACTCCTTGTAGGGCTCGCAGCCGGGCACGTCCACTGCGGGGAGGGAACAGCGAAACCGATGTCAGAACGCTAAAGAGACACCGAGGTGCCCGCGTGTCCGAGGGCGGTCCTGCTATAGTCTGATCGTACCCATACTACGTGACATTTAGGGGGGGAGGGGGGTACAATTATTATGGGGTCCCAAAAGGATCAGGATGATCATTGGAGTCCATAGAGACCCCATATTCTTTGTACCCCGGGGTAAAAATAATATAGGGTCTCTATGGACTCCAATGATCTTCCTGATCCTTTTGGGACCCCATAATATTTGTACCCCCCCCCTAAATGTCACGTAGTATGGGTACGATCCCTTACCTTCGTGGTAGAACGTGAAGCACATGTTCAT